TTGGCCCAGGTATGACAGCAGGCCCACTCCCTCTCCTTTCTCTTGGCCTTGCGCCTGGGTTAGCCCACTCCTCCCTCCTTTCTTGCAGCGCAGGCCCAACGGCCCAGCCGCTCTCTCCTTCTCTTTTGGCCCGAGTGGCAAAACCCACTCGCATTCCCTCCCTCAGCTCCTTAGTCCAGCAGGCCTCGGCCCTCTCTCTCGGCCTAACTCCCCTTCCCCTTTTGCGCAACTGGCCTAGCTCAGCTGGAGCCGGCACGGAGCGCTCTACTCCCTCTCTCTGCTAGTGGGCCTTGCTCCTTCACCCGCTGACGCCGTGGCCCCGCATGCCAGCCGTACCTTCTTCCTCCTCTCGTCCCTGAGCAGGACTCTGCCGCTGTCGCTCGATCCCGATTTGCATGGGATTCGCCATGACCTCCACACCAAGTCCCCTACAGCGTCTGCGTCGACGAGAACCACCGCCCGAGCTTCACGTGAAAATGAGGATCATGCCGCTACCTTTACTGCTCCCTCTCTCCCTCTCTATTCAGCGTCAACGCTAGTCGAAGCCCGCCACCGTGCCGACCTGCTCCGCCGCGCTTGCTCTCGTCTTCGGTCACCAGTGGACGACGTGAGCACCCCCGTCGAGTTCGCGAGTCCGAGACATACCTACCCGTGCCCTCACCTTGGCCACCCGAGCCCCGCAACACCTTCCACCGTTAGTTGGTGAGCACGCCACCAACATCCATGGCGCTCCGCCATGTGCGCCGTCTTCGTCGCCCTGCTGCAGTCGGAAGGAGCCACACCGGCGAACTCATCACGTCTCTAGCTCCCTTCCGGTGCCTTCCCACGCTGAGCTGAGCCCTCTGGCTCGCATCCTACCAAGCTCCGGCGAGCTCCCACTGTCTCCCGTGGCAGCGTCGCCGCGCTGACTGCCGTCGCGGCCGGTTAAACCTCACCGAGCCGACCTAAGCCGTCCGATCCGCAACCGAGGGCCCAGATCCGATCCAGCAGTGCTGGTCAACGCAGTCAGCGGTGCTGACATGGCCGCCACGTGTGTGCCACATAGGCAGCGATCGAGTCAACTCGGTCAGTCACCGGTCAGCTCTGCCAGTTTTGCAAAAGAGCCTCCGACGTTCTTTAAAATCAACTTGCAGTCCAGATCCTGTTGAAAGTAATGCGAAATAGGCCCCTGGTTCTTTTGCTTTAGCCCCTAAGCTTTTAAGGAATAGTACCCACGGTCCAAAACCTTTTATAATTCAATTTTATTTGTTTTTAAAATGTGAAAATAGTTTCAACAAATCACAGTTTTGCCACTAAACTTGTTTTGGCCATAGAAACTCCGTTTTAGCTCCGATTGGACTCGTTCGAGTTGCGTTAGATTCATAACGACGTAATCTACAGATTAGTAACAATGTTTACTATGTCGCTAGCTTTGTAATTTCATGGTTTGAATGCTAACTTAAATAACAATTATGTAACCCTATTTATAAATAAAATATGATTAATTCTACTTTAATTTTCTAATTCAAATATAAATTTAACTTAATTCAATTTAGATGTTTCTTTGAAATATCTTACACATGTTTTTATATAAGCATTAAAATAAATAAGGCATATAGTTTTCTTTTCAGAGTAAATCCTTCGGTAGTCGTTTCTTTTTCACCGTAGCTCCGATTAGCGTGCTTTTCGCGCCTGTGTTCGTAGCGACGTGTAGAACATATTTAAAACCTTTTTTACTTGTTGTTTTTGTATGATTGGTGTACTGTTCTAATATAGCTATTTTTTATGTTATGCATGTCTCTGTTTGGATGCTTGTGTGGTGTTCTATGATCATGTCCAGTCGGGGAGTGTTGCGTTGGTGATCAAGAAGTAATCCTTTGGGGTTTGCGAACCAGAAGAAGGATCTGAGTTTAAGGCAAGTATAGCATGGGATCATCCTTGTTACCTATTCACTTTTTAATCACTATTAACTCATGTTGCATGTGTCTAATCCTGTTACCCTAAGGATTGATCTAGCTAATTGTACCTTCTACCTTGTCACCTATGGGTTTACTTGCATTGGTTAGCGTATTGCTAGTGCTCAAATATAATAACCATGTCTAGTAACTTGACTAATGACATATGCAATGATGTAAAAGATGATTTTTAGCAACATGAACTCAGGGGCTAGAGTATTGGACTGTTCTCATGGTGCTCTAGATTCTCCTCCCTAAGGACTTATCTGTTGGCAAAAATTGGGACTTACAGTACAACCGTGAGGGCTATATGGCTCTGGCTTTAGTCAAGTATGAGGACCTTTTCTAGCTTGTTAGAGGTTACCCGAAAGGACACAAATGGGGTGTGTTCTGGGTTGGGTATAGTGCGGCCTCTGTCCTTATGTGTATAGTCTATGAGAAAATGTGTCATTCCGAAGGGGGCTCTACACCTGTAGGCCACAGAAACCTAGCGGCCCTAACTTGTTAGACGAATCTTTCAAAGACTTCATAGTGAACCATGTCGACCGTCCTTGGAAGTGGGTCAAGAGGCTAGCTACCTCGGGCGAAAGGGCAAATCACGACTCATGGGTAAAGATGTACAACCTCTGCAGAGTGTTAAAAATTGTTATAATAGTCGTGCTCATGGTCACGAGCGGCCCGGAAAACTCACGGAATAGGTAATGAACAAATATGATGAACGAAACATGTGTTGAACAGAATTGATGACAGTTATTATGCTTACTCATTGTCATATTGCCATTACTCAGTAATCATGTGGTTATTTGGGGGTTAAGCTAAACTTGCTATGCTCTAACGCTAAAACTACTCACTAAAAATGCTAACCGCAGTAAACCAGTGTCAACCTTTTTTTGAGCTTCATAACCCCATGTTATTCTTGTTGAGTACGAGATGTACTTATGCTTGTTATTTTTACTACTTGGATAAAAATCTCGGATGGGTACCGGATTGCTAGATTGTGGAGCAGTTAGGCTTGTGATCAACCAGTCAGTTGTCCCTATAGAGTTAGAGTCTTCACCTGAAGATCAGAGTTGTTTTTCCGCTGTTTGCTATCTAAGGTTATTCTTTGTATTAATACGTTATGGAATAAAGTATTGTCTTTTGGTATTACCCTTATTTGTAGCTGTATGTGATATTTGATTTCCTGGACTCACATATGGTGTGTATCTGGTTTTGTCTTTAAAACCGGGAGCTACACAAATACATGTGGTAAGATAATAACATTTATGATGTTAAATAAATATTATTAGATTCTTCATTAATTATATTTTCATAGTATACCTATTTGATGTCATAAATCTTTTTAATGCTCTCTATAATTTTGATCAAGATGCTTTGACTCTCCAAGATTCTTAGAATGATTTATAATTTGGAATGGAGGGAGTAGCTTCTAGTACTGATCTATTTGTTGATCTGATTCACCATAATATGATTCTATTGATGATTATTTACCATGTCTACTGATGATAAAAATATACACTACTAATGGAAGAGAACACGATAATTTTGTTGATGATTATTTACCTTGTCTACTCATGATAAAAAAAATCTATTTTTGTTTATTTTATGGGATGATTTGTTTTTCTATAATTTCTTGAGAGCTAAGCATGCTTAACACTATGATTAAGTACCTGCACCGTTGTCAAATATTTGTGGTAGTTATCCTAATGAATGGAATTGGGGCATTTTAACCAACATGTGGCTGCAATCCAAACGGTTACCACAATTTTTTGCCTAACAATTATAGCAATAAACCAAACAATAGCCACAACCACATCTTAGTTGCCAATCAAACACTCCTAATTTGCCATAGATTGGGGCTAGCCACAAGTGTGGCTTGTACCTAACCTTAGGTGTGGTAAACTGTGGCCCATATACAACTTGTACTATCCATATATATGTAGGAGTAGGCCAGAAAAGTGGGCGTAGGCGCGGGCGCGTGGCGCGTATGTGATGGGAGGCTTTGGCGGCCGGGCATGGGAAATGACACTGGCGCGTATGTGATGGGAGGCTTTGGCTACGGGGCATGGGAAATGACACCACGAGTCACCACCACTCACCAGCGCGCACTTTTGCTTCTGTTAATGTGAAATGATTGGATTTTTTTTCTTTTTTTTTCTTTTTTTTGGCGACCTTGCTTTTGCTTCAGTATTTCATTAAGATTAAGTATAATAACAAGTTGTAAGCAGGCTGAATGCTAACATGGATAAGAGAGAAAAGGAGAGAGATGAGAAGCAGGCTGTAGCTTACAGCCGGCTTAAACATAAAAATAAAAAAACTTTGTGAGAGAGACAAGTGAACCATATATTACTCCCTCCATTATCTTTTGTTAGGCGTGGAAAAGAGTTTTTCGGATGGAATTTTAGAGAACGAGGTGGAGGATTAATGGAGCATTGAGCATCGTGTTATATTCACGCAAGCATGCATGTCCAAAAACTCCGGCTCAACCAACTAGCGCGTGGTCTGCCCGCCAAAACGCCCAAAAATCCTGATCTGCATGCAAAAGATGCTTCGTATTTAAATTGGCGAAGCTAGCCCTTACATTTACACGTACCCCGCGACTTATATATCGTCAAAACCGTGAAATCACCGTACGCCCTATAAATGATAACCTATCCATTATGGAGTCTTGAAGAACAGTTGAGGCTTATTAAAATTAATTGCAGTACATCGCCGAATATAAACTTTTGCTATTCTTGGTTCCCACTCACCCAACGACATGAATACTAGTTCAGTTCAAATACATGAATTAATTGCATGGCTTATTAGAATTAATTGCAGTACATTGCCGAATATAAACTTTCGTTATTCTTGGTTCCCACTCACCCAACGACATGATTAGTTCAGTTCAAATACATGTATAGATCAAACAGAAAAGGAAATAGATAATATGATGATTTGCAAACACACACAAAGTTCCAGATGTGGCACATCCCTTCACTTATTTTAGTCATCTTCTACCTCCGTTCTAGGTAGAGGTGATGTTCACTTCAACATGATCACCATCTAGGTACCAGGTGATGTTCACTAAACTGTCCTTTCTAGGTACCAGGTGATGTTCACTTCAACTTGATCACCATCAACTTCTCTTTCTTGAGTCGTAACTCTACGGGTGAATTCTAGACAGAATTTCAAATTCTTACCCTCTTCTTGGCTGTCGCAGGTTGTGATTACTCTTAGGTCCACCTCTATGTGGAGTTTGAAATGTCGACGATAGGGCAATGCAATCATATATGGAGTCAGTGGAAGAATGCATGTGGAGCCACAGGGAAAGGACAAGCTCCTCCCTCGGTAACGACTGAAGAGATGGACGCTTTTGCTACCATAGTCAATGGCGCTTGCCTTGATGCTACCATACACAGCGCGGCTTCTCGAACCAAGGTCTTTGAGGTTCAACCTGACCTCAACATGGGTCTCAATTGCGTTGGGAATCACCAAGTATGTGATCTCCAACTTGCGGCCAAGGCCTCCATCAATGGTTTTTGTGTGTTCCTCAACTTCATCATCCTCCATAATAACACTCCAACCTTCATCGATGACACCGGTGCCATCGGCTGGGAAAACCTTAAAGCCCAAGGTGCCGTAAGCCTCTAGAATCCTAACTGGTCCAATGGGTACCAAATCCACCATTCCTTCCTACACATGAAAGCATGAATGTGAAGGGTTTTAATTTATAACAATATATAAAGTATGTAAGAGGCATAAAGCATATATATAGTAGATATAACATATGGTAGCTAGTATATACCTCTTGTAGTTCCCCCTCCCGCGCCCTGTAGATGTACAGGTAGTTGCGCCAGTCAAAGCCATTGATACCTCTGATACGGAAGTTTGCACGAATGGACAATAATTGCACCGCTCGTGGACCAAGTGTAACTGTATCCTCATCCGATCCACTGCTGCTAACATCCTCAGGGCCATCCCCATGATCGGATCCATCCCCGTGATCGGATCCAGTGCTGCTGCCAACCTCAGGGCCATCCCCGCGAGCCTCCGGGAGAGCTGTAGCATCATCCTCGCCTCCGTCCCACACTTTACCCATCAGCTGATTCCTCGAGCGAGAGGGGAAAAAAGAGAGAGATTAGCAAATAGGATGTCACTACAGAATGTCATCAATCACCACAAAGTATTTTGGGACATATCTATAGTACAAACAATAATACAGCAAAGATTTAGCAAAGATCAGATTAGTTGAACTATTAAAGTAAAAAGGAACCCACTGACAATATTATCACCAAAAAGTTCACTAACAAGATCTATGACATTTATTGGAGCATAAAAAAATTAGCTACCCTGACCATAACTGAAGTGAACACCACCCATAAAATGCCATGCATCAAAAGTCCAGGCTAAAAATGCAAAAGGAAGCAATGCATTTACACATCAACTAGAAAACCAGCGCGGCTTTGCCGCGCCATCTGTTGAGTGAGCCTGCAAGTTTTTAGAGGTTTTGTTGCTCCTCTTTGCTCTACCCATGTATAATCCTACATATGAAAGGAAGGAAATGGTTGATTATATTAGATACAACAAAGAAAATCCCTTTTGAAAATAATAAATTCAAATTGCAGATACGTGAAAAAGCTTAACAAAACTGATGGCAGGTACATGAGAGAAAAAACTGAGAGATGATAATAGGTATCCTCGAGAAACCCATCAGTTATAGACATTCTTAAAGATCAAGGAATAGAAAGCCGGTTAATCAATAAATCACTGTTTTTCTTTTTGAGATAATGAAGTGATCGTCGGCCATAGCTCCCTTATGTTTTGAAACTGTATAGTTCTAACTGCATTTATTTTGGTAGTTTATATTACAATTTCACTTAGTAGTTGGAGAATTATATGTACACAGTTAATATGCTGAAACTGTATTGGCCAAAATTCATTTTGACCTATAAGTTACTGTGTTATATCAACATTGGCTATTGCAATAGGCAAGATATTAAGTTTGTAGTATAAATACAAGTATTGTAAATCCGAGTAGCATAGAATATTTAAGCTGAATTGCTTCAGTTAAGCTGTTGGGCAAATATTTGTAAGAAAATGAACCAAGATTAGTAATTAACTAATTATAGAGATTCACGTGCCCATGTAAACTGAAAAGAAAAAATGAATACAAGGTGTTACGAAAATAACTAACGGGTAATTACAAAGCAGATAGCAAAGGTTAGTTCCACAGAGGATCAATCTAGTACTACGGTTCATATATATCTTCGTGATAAGACAGTGCTACTTTTTTTATTGGTTTTAAATCCTTGTATTTGAGAGAAAACAATAATATATGGTTTATCTCACCTCAAGGGAGTTAGCAGTATCTGCTGAGAACCTGAGATTTGCACCTGAAATGACAATCAAGAGTAGAGAGTTGAGAGCTAAGTATTGTGCTGAGGTGTTGAATTTCAAGCAGAAAAACATTTGAGAAATAAATGTAAGCAGTAGTACTTGAGGAGATTCCAAAACAAGATGATTTATCAATCATCATATATATAAAAGAAATTAATTTTGTATAAATTATGTGATGAAAATATGCCTCTTGTTTTCTTCCCTTTTTAATTATGAATAGAGGCCCTGTTTGTCTTTTCTTTTTCTTGCAGCTTCAGATAAAAAGATTAGTGAGGATCGTGGGTTCATATATCATTATCTCCATAAACTATTGTAATAGTTTGATTTACACCGAAAGGCATCAGTAGAGACGCAAAGCAAACTATCAGGAGCCAAGGCAGAAGTTAATCCTATTTCTTAGGTTTAATGTAATATACTTTGTAAACCAGTTCACTTGTTGTATCAGTTTTAATATGGAATCAGGACATTATAGTCGTACAAAAATAATATATGCTAGTGTATAATAAAATTTCAGATTTCAGAAAGCAAAGATCATGCTACCATAAATTTTTAGGAATAGAAATATAAGGTGCAAGATAACATTTTTAGAAATTAGATTAGTGTTTGCACCGTACTATATTTCAGGTTTTGAAAAGCAAAGATTCTGCTACTGTAAATTTTGAGGAATAGAAATTTAAAATGTAATATAACATATCTAGAAATTAGATCAGGCTTTGCACCATATTATATTGCTATAACATAGTCAATCTGAAGAAAATAAGTCACAGAACAGCTGCATGTTAGCACTTGCATGTAGAGGAGTTCATATTACATATTTTTAGATTTCATAAATAGAAATGAAATGTGTGGACTGGAAATTAAGTTTTCAAAGGGTCTGAATATTGGATCAGGAAAGTACATATATGTAGTTGCTATTAAAGTAGTAGAGAACCTATTTCAAATTCAGTGTGCACTTTTGAGGATTTGCTCGATTCTCATTCATATTAGAGCTTGAAGCATGTAGAATTGAAAGTGGTTTCTTAATGTAAGAACATCAAATTAATCATAAGAGATGGAGTAGAGGAGTTTAGATTATAGATTGCCATATTTTAGAAAATATGGCTCTAAAGCATTGAATCAAACAGATTGTGTGCATGAATGTACGGTGCATGAATGTACGGCTGCAAGCATGCAACAGCGGTGGTCACTGTGATGCAGTCCCATGATTGATTTGCTTGTACGATTCAGGCCTTGGCTTTTATGCGGCAGAACATAAGATTCAGATCTGAGCATCAGCTACGGGCTCGTGCAGGACGGGTCATCGCGGTGTCCACGCATTGACGCACATCAACGCCGAGAGGAGAGCATGTACTAACCGATTGCGGACGCGCGAGGAGAGTTCGCCGAGCTATGCAACCGTCTGGTCCAGAGTTGTGCTTCAGGTGGCGGCGGCGCAGAGGGGGCCCTCACGGTGCTCAAAGACGCAGTGTATGCTGAGATTGAAGCGCAAGAGAGGGAAAGTGGAGGCCAGATCGGAGCGCCGGTGTCAGTCGCGCCGCCTGGGGACGTGGTCGCTCGTGAGGCCTTCCCTGCGCCGGCCGGCGGATCCCCGCCCGCGGAGGCGCGTTCGGTGGGGGCGTGCGGTCACCACCCCCGCCCATGCGGCCAACGCTGCGGGCAGTGGGGGCCGCGACGTGGGAGGCGAGCGGCACGGGTGCGACGTGCCTGCAGGTCGAAGGCGCGGCACGGCGTTGGCGCGGGCTCGGACGGAGGGAGAAGATAGAGGGGAGAGAAGTGGTATAGACAGACTTGGGGTTTTGACTGCGGGTTCTAGGCCGTCCGCGCGGCCGATCCTATGATTGGGAAAAGCGGACGACGTGGCCACGCTGCCTACCCTCTTTTGGTAGCAGGATTCATATGGTAAGATATTAAATTCAGAGAATGATTTAAGCCGCGTTTAGTTCGGCCCCGGATTCAGTGCCGCCGAAATCCTAGTACTGTAGCGGTACTGTTGCGTATTGTAGTATTTTGTTTTTATTTGATACTAATTGTCCTATCGTTGACTAATTAGACTCAAAACGTTCGTCTCGTAAAGTATAACCAAACTGTGCAATTAGTTTTTGATTTCGTCAACATTTAATACTCCATGTATGTACCGTAAGTTTGATATGACGGGGAATCTTCTTTTGTATAGTGACGAAATCTGGAATTTAGGGCAACTAAACGTGGCCTTAGTAACTAATGTGCTCACCGACGAACGGCGGAAGGCGCTGTGGGGCTCGGGTGGCCAAGGCGAGGGCACGGGTAGGTAGGTCTCGGCCTCGCGAACTCGACGGGGGTGCTCGCGTCGTCCACTGGTGACCGGAGACGAGAGCAAGCGCGGCGGAGCGGGTCGGCACGGTAGCGGGCTTCGACTGGCGCTGGCGCTGAACAGAGAGGGAGAGAGGGAGCGGCGAATGTAGCGGCGTGATCCTCACCTTCACGCGAAGCTCGGGCGGTGGTTCTCGTCGGCGCAGACGCTGCAGGGGAGGAGAGCGACGGCGGCAGGACCTCGGTGAAGCGGCGGCGCACGCTAGGGCTAGCGGGGTGGCGGCTGCTGCGGCTAGGATTAAGGCGACGCGTTGATGGGGTCCGGGGCCGCGGCAGGGGTTTTAGGGATTTATAGGGGGCTTGGCGTGGAGGTCACGCCAAATCCCGTGCAAATCGGGATCAAGCGACAGCGGCAGAGTCCTGCTCGGGGACGAGAGGAGGAAGAAGGTGCGGCTGGCATGCGGGGCCGCGGCGTCAGCGGGTGAAGGGGCAAGGCCCACGGGCAGAGAGAGGGAGCAGAGCGCTCCGTGCGGGCTCCAGCCGAGCTGGGCCGGTTGCGCGAAAGGGGAAGGGGAGTCAGGCCGAGAGAGAGGGCCGAGGCCTGCTGGACTAAGGAGCTGAGGGAGGGAGTGCGAGTGAGCTTTTCCACTTGGGCCCAAAGAGAAGGAGAAAGCGGCTGGGCCGCTGGGCCTGCGCTGCAAGAAAGGAGGGAGGAGTGGGCCTGCGCTGCAATAGGTTGTGCCTCTACTCGATCCTTTAACCGGTCATGCACAGCAGCATCACCAACAGCGGCTCACGGCGAGCCGTGAGATGAGAGGAGGCGGGGTTGGGCGCGGCCGCCGTAAGAGGAGGAGGTGGGGCGCGTCCGGAGACGCTTAGCCACGCAAACCGGCGCTGGGCGTGGCGACGAGATGGGGGCATGGGGCGCTCGCTCCTCTGCCGGTTGGAGGAAGACGCGCCACGAGCTCTGACACCGCGAGCCTTGGCCCCGAGCACGGCCACGAGCTCCGTCGCGGCGAGCACTGCGCTTCCTGACGCTGCGAGCCGCCATCCTCGCCGCTCGCGCTTGCGCCAGATCCGCCCGCTGGTGGCCGAGGTCACCACCGCGCGCCACTGCTTGCGCCGTGCCGTTTTCTCGGTTGGCCGCGCTCGCCCCCGCGCCGTCGCTGCGGGTGCCGAGCTCGCTCCGCGAGCTCCGACGCCGCGAGCATTGGTCCAGATCTCGGCCACGAGCAGCGTCGCGCGCCCCGACGCCGTGAGCCGCCGGCCCCAACGCTCGCGCTTATCCGAGATCCGTCCACGGGTGGCTGAGGTCGCCCCTGCTAGCTTTGCCGCTGCTTGCGCCGTGCCGTCGCATCGGTTGGAACCGCTTGCACGGTGCGCGGGGGCCGGCCATGCCACACGGCGGCTTGC